TTCAAATATATGTACCTTATCATCATCCCCATCTTATGTGACAAGGTTCATAACTCTAGCACCAATATTTACAGATTTATCTCCCCTTGAACTTAGAATTTTCCTCAAAAAGTACTATTTCTTACTGTTTCTTCTTTATTTCTTAAGGGATCAACCTCATACTTCAAATATATTTACATTATCATCATCCCCATCTTATGTGACAAGGTTCATAACTCTAGCACCAATATTTTCAGATTTATCTCCCTTTGAACTTTGAAATTTCCATAAAAAATATTATTTTTTACTGTTACTTATTTATTTCTAAAGGGATCAACTTCATACTTCAAATATATTTACATTATCATCATCCACATCTTATGTGACAAGGTTCATAACTCTAGCACCAATATTGCAAGAATTATCTCCCCATAAACTTAGATTTTTTTACTAGAAAAATGTTATTTTTTATTATAACTTTTTTATTTTTAAAGGTATCTACCTTAAACTTCAAATACTTATTCCTTATCATCAATTACATTTTATGTGACAATGTTCATAACTCTTGAAGCAATATTTACACATTTATCTCTCTTTGAACTTAGGATTTTCTTTTAGAAATATAATAACTTCTTTACTTTTTAAGGTATCTACTTCAAACTTCAAATATATATTTCTTATCATTACTCAAATGTTGTGTGACAAGGTCCATAACTCTAGCATGACTATTTCTAGAATTATTCCCCTTGATCTTGGAATTTATGTTAACAAATATATTTTTTTTACTATAACTTAATACATAATTATACATAATTGATTTTTCTTTTATAGTTTTGTCCTCCTTACTGCGTCCAGTATTTTATTAGTCGAGCTTCGCTGTCTCCTGTGACAGCTCTTGTTGACAGTCTTTTCAATAATACTAGGAAGTTAAATATCAAAATAGAATGAAATGAGCAAGTTGCAACCAACATCATAATAGCCTGAGGGCCATGGCTAAATCACTTTTGATTCCAGCAGGGTGACCCCTAAACCTGCTTGGACCTTAGAGTGAGTTGCCTTTGTAACTAATGAAGAGCCTGTCCAGCCTGCACAAAGGTGCCTGAGTGGTCACATCTTGACAGTCAGTCCACATTACTGTCTTTTCAGTGGATAGCTTACCAGTTATAACCAAATTTCTTCGCTAGTGAGTTTTTTTGTAGATTGTGTATATATACAAAAAAAGTAATGTTCAAAATGTATAATGATTATATTATAAATTGTTGAATGTCATATTTCATAGTAATTATGAAATATTTTGCATATTTTAGGCTCACTATTGGTTCACCAGCAAATATTTCATTGGTAATTTATGTTCGAACTGAAGGGAATTTTTCATGCTTCTTCATGCATTCAGTGAAGTAAAACTATATAACTGATAGGTGCGCATGCAGACATGCATTATAGTTTTAGATCTTGTTCATTATTTACTTAATTTTATACTATACTAGTAAGGAAACTTAAACAAGTACATTTGTACATGGGCATTTTTTTTCTTTTGTAAATACAGTCATGAACCTATGACTTGAGCTTGTTTTATTTGTTTAAAAAAATGAGGAAATTTTCCCGCAAACCATAATTTATACATGTATATTGAAAGAATTTGAAGATTAATTTTTTATGAGAACAAATTTTATTCTGCTTGTTTTGTTTTATTGACTCTCTAGTGTGTTTTGATTTGGATACGGAAGTAATTTAATTTTTAGCTCGTCTGTTTTGGAAAAAAGTCAAGCCATTATGATCTTTGCATCGATCATTGTAATAATTATTGTGGTGATTATCGTTGTGGTACAAAAAAATTTATGTAGCCCATTTTTAAAACATATATATGCCAGTTTTGTATGCGATAAGTATTGGACAAAGAAAAATTGGGATCCTTATCATTTTTTTCCAATTAGTTTTAAAGTTTATAACACCTATAAAAGGCCTCTTCCCAAAAGCAATTTTCTTGAAAATCATGCGGTTTTCCTAAGAATCTGAACTTACATCAGCTTTTGTGATCGCTTTTCGTCTGGCAGTCCGTCGTCCGTCCGGCGTCTGTAAACTTTTACTTTAAATGACATCTCCTCAAAAACCACCAAGCCAATTTCATCCAAACTTCGCAAGAATGTTCCTTTGGTGGTCACCTTTGAAAATTGTTCAAAGAATTTAATTCCATGCAGAACTCTGGTTGCCATGGCAACCAAAAGAAAAAAAATTTAAATATCTTCTTCTAAAAAACCCATAGAGCTAGAGCTTAGATATTTAGCATGAAACATCTTCTAGTGAGTGTCTACCAGGTTTGTTCAAATAAAAGCCCTGGGGTCAATATTGGCCCCGCCCCAGGGTGTCATTGATTTTCCCTATATGCATATAGTAAAAACTTAAAAAATCTTCTTTTAAAGAACCCAAAGAGCTAGATCTAAGATATTTAGCATAAAACATCTTCTAATGGGTGTCTACCAATTATTTTCAAATAAAAGCCCTGGGGTCAAAATTGGCCCCGCCCCAGGGGGTCATTGATTTTCCCTATATGCATATAGTAAAAACTTAAAAAATCTTCTTTTAAAGAACCCAAAGAGCTAGAGCTAAGATATTTAGCATAAAACATCTTCTAATGGGTGTCTACCAATTTTGTTCAAATAAAAGCCCTGGGGTCAAAATTGGCCCCGCCCCAGGGGGTCATTGATTTCCCTTTATGCATATAGTAAAAACTTAAAAAACTTCTTTTAAAGAACCCAAAGAGCTAGGGCTAAGATATTTAGCATAAAACATCTTCTAATGGGTGTCTACCAATTTTGTTCAAATAAAAGCCCTGGGGTCAAAATTGGCCCCGCCCCAGGGGGTCATTGATTTTCCCTATATGCATATAGTAAAAACTTAAAAAACTTCTTTTAAAGAACCCAAAGAGCTAGGGCTAAGATATTTAGCATGAAACATGTTCTAATGGATGTCTACTAAGTTTGTTCAAATAAAAGCCCTGGGGTCAAAATTGGCCCCGCTCCAGGGGGTCATTGATTTCCCTATATGCATATAGTAAAAACTAAAAAATCTTCTTTTAAAGAACCCAAAGAGCTAGAGCTAAGATATTTAGCGTAAAACATGTTTTAATGGGTGTCTACCAATTTTGTTCAAATAAAAGCCCTGGGGTCAAAATTGGCCCCGCCCCAGGGGGTCATTGATTTTCCCTATATGCATATAGTAAAAACTTAAAAAACTTCTTTTAAAGAACCCAAAGAGCTAGAGCTAAGATATTTAGCATAAAACATCTTCTAATGGGTGTCTACCAATTTTGTTCAAATAAAAGCCCTGGGGTCAAAATTGGCCCCGCCACAGGGGGTCATTGATTTTCCCTATATGCATATAGTAAAAACTTAAAAAATCTTCTTTTAAAGACCCCAAAGAGCTAGAGCTAAGATATTTAGCATGAGCATTTTCTAGTGAGTGTCTACCAGGTTTGTTCAAATAAAAGCCCTGGGGTCAATATTCGCCCCGCCCCAGGGGGTCATTGATTTTCCCTATATGCATATAGTAAAAACTTATAAAATCTTCTTTTAATGAACCCAAAGAGCTAGAGCTAAGATATTTAGCATAAAACATCTTCTAATGGGTGTCTACCTATTTTGTTCAAATAAAAGCCCTGGGGTCAAAATTGGCCCCGCCCCAGGGGGTCATTGATTTTCCCTATATGCATATAGTAAAAACTTTTAAAACTTCTTTTAAAGAACCCAAAGAGCTAGAGCTAAGATATTTAGCATAAAACATCTTCTAATGGGTGTCTACCAATTATTTTCAAATAAAAGCCCTTGGGTCAAAATTGGCCCCGCCCCGGGGGGTCATTGATTTTCCCTATATGCATATAGTAAAAACTTAAAAAACTTCTTTTAAAGAACCCAAAGAGCTAGAGCTAAGATATTTAGCATAAAACATGTTCTAATGGGTGTCTACCAATTTTGTTCAAATAAAAGCCCTGGGGTCAAAATTGGCCCCGCCCCAGGGGGTCATTGATTTTCCCTATATGCATATAGTAAAAACTTAAAAAACTTCTTTTAAAGAACCCAAAGAGCTAGGGCTAAGATATTTAGCATGAAACATGTTCTAATGGATGTCTACTAAGTTTGTTCAAATAAAAGCCCTGGGGTCAAAATTGGCCCCACCCAGGGGGTCATTGATTTTCCTTATATACGTATAGCAAAAACTTAAAAAATCTTTTTTGAAAAAAAAAACAAATAGCTAAGGTTTAGATACTAAGCATGAAACATCTTCTAGTGAGTGTCTACCAAGTTTGTTCAAATAAAAGCCCTGGGATCAAAATTGGCCCGTCTCGGGGGTCATTCATTTTCCTTATATGTGTATAACAAAAAATTTAAAAATCTTCTTTGAAAAAACTCAAATAGCTAGAGTTTAGATATTAAGCATGAAGCATCTTCTAGTGAGTGTCTACAAAGTTTGTTCAAATAAAAGTCCTGGGGTCAAAATTGGCCCCGCCACGGGGGACATTGATTTTCCTTATATCATACAGTGTATAGCAAAATCTTAAAAATTCTCTTTGAAAAAACCCAAATAGCTAGAGTTTAGATATAGAGCATGAAACATTTGCTAGTAAGTGTCTACAAAGATTGTTCAAATAAAAGCCCTGGGGTCAAAACTGGCCCTGCCCCAGGTGTGTCATTGTTTTTAACTATATGTGTAAAGAAAAAACATGAAAAAATCCTCTTTTAAAAAACCCAACGAGCTAGACCTTAGATGTTTTGCATGAAACATTTTCTAATGGGTGTCTACCAAGTTTGTTCAAATAAAAGCCCTGGGGTTTATACTGGCCCGCTCCAGGGGCCTTTATACAGGTGAGCGACTTCAGGGCCATCATGGCCCTCTTGTTTACTTTCCTATTTAGCCATTTTAGCGTTAATTGTTTCCAAATATCAAAAGGCTGGGGCCTTTTTCCAATCAAGTGACCTAATGCCTCTAGTTTCTTAACATTATAAGTGTTGCTTTTTGTATTTCAGGAACGTGTACATGTTAAAGATCCCCCAGATGTCTACCTCACAAAACTACGCACATATTTGGATCCGAGGTCAACACGCAGCACAAAGGTATATATCACTAATACGTAACTCCTTGATAAAATACCGTCACTGTGAAGAACCTTGTTTTATACGTTTTCTAGTCTTACTGTATTGTTTTAAATGGAGCTTGTGTTTGAAAAACAATTGCGTTTTTAGATTTGTTTAATACCCACGTTTCGCTGTGCAGACCTATTTGTTATTAAACAATTTATACAATATATTCTGCCGCTAGCTATTTTGAAATTGATCAAATGATATTGAATTGCTAAACAGTTCTGTTAATAAGAGATCAAGAAGTTTGATTTCCAGTGATTTTATTGGAATTTAAAATTGCTCTTTGACCTTCCTCAGAAAAAAAAAACATTACAAATTAATATTGTAGATGTACCGTTGACTTTTTCAAATTTAAAAGGGAATTTTTTTAGAAAAATCGCTTAACTTCTTGATACCTTGGCAACAGTCTCAATGTTTTTTATCACATTTTGACAAGCTTTAGATCACATTAGGGAAACTGTTAATTAAATGAACTTATATCACATGACATCGCTTGTTTTCCATGTAATATAACTATTTTCTTATTTGTGTATTTATAATTTTTATTGCCATTTTTGCTTATATGACATTTCATGAGAAAAAAAGTGTACATAGGCACACTTTAATTAAGTACGTCGAAAATTTATTTTCATTAATTTCAATGAGTTAAGTCATGTGATAAAAAGAATCTGACACATGAATTGTGATATAATATGAAATTTTATTAAACTCATGCAAGAAAATGATTCTCGCTTTATAACAATATCTTGAAATAGTTTAATAAAATTTTATATTATATGGTTGAAGAATTGTCTTTTATAGAGGAAATTTTTTACTTGCATAAATGTATTCCATTGTTCAGATACAGTATTGTTCTGGTACAGTTCATTTTTTTATTTAAAAACTTAAATACTTTAATTATAAAATTTCCCTTTTGTGTGCTGGTTTTTAACCTTTCACCTGCTGAATTTCTTAAATGGACAAGTTCAACAATTTTACATTTTTGGAACTGTCCATTATCAATTATGGGGATATCAAGATGAAAAATTAAAAGTTAAATCAGCCAATAGAACTTGAGCCTGGTCAGACTGCACAGATGGTGCACGCTGGCCTGACTCTATACTGGTTGCAAAGGCCAACACTTTTGTCCCAGCAGGTGAAGGGTTCATAAATATAAAAGCTATTCAATGAGCTGCTTTTGCTAAAAAAAGCACTGACCTTTCGTTTTATGTGCTTTAAATGCACATCACATAGCTATTGATTGTTTTCTATGAAAGCAAATGGACCCATCCATGACTCAGCAAAATTTTCATACGATGGCACAAGATAGACTCATACTTTTACTTTTATAGAAGGAAATCATGGGTCTAAACATTTTCTGATACTATGCATTGACCATACATAAATATAAGAAAAATTAATATTTTCCATTTCCTCTATTATATTGCCAAGATGTCGCACATGTGATGGGTCCATTTATAAAACCTTGCAGAACTTTTAAACTTCAAATATTAATATACATTTTGACGCTTTTTATGTGCATTGGTAGATTTCACGAAAGGTAACATAAAATAAAATCTCACCACTGTGTGTAACCTACTGTACCAACCATTTAAGCTTGGTGTGTGACCATATTATGATATTAATGGTAAACTTGAAGATGCTTACTGCAGTCAATTTGTGTTGTTCCCCACCCCCGTCACCTCCCTCATTTTCTCCCCCATGTTTTAGCAGAATTTTGTTTTCATATTCATTAGAAATAGTTTTCTCTGTAATATGACAGGATTTTGATCAAAGAATGCAACTTCTAACAATTTAAGATAAATAACCGCATTTCTATCAATGATCGCAAGTTTTTTCAAACAATCCAAGCTTTATGACATAGCATTTCTATCAAAGGTGGCAACTTTTTCAAACAATCCAAGGTTTTTTACATAGCATTTCTATTGAAGGTCACAACTTTTTTTAAACAACCCGAGATATAATGACATAGCATTCCTATGAGAGGTCACAATTTTTTTTCAAACAATGTGAGATATACATGTGTGACATAGCATTTCTATCAAAGGTCGTCACTTTTTCCAAACAATCTGAGATATTTGACATAGCATTCCTATTGATCAAACAATCCGAGATATATGACATAGCATTTCTATGAGAGGTCGCAAGTTTTTTTCAAACAATCTGAGATATACATGTATGACATAGCATTTCTATCAAAGGTCGTAAATTTCAAACAATCCGAGATATATGACATAGCCTATCTAAGGTTGCAAGTTTTTCGAACAATCTGACATAGTATAAAAACTAACTAAATTTTTTCGGCGAGGAAATATCCGGTTATTATCATATCATAGTCTTTTATATTGATTCAAAGAAATTATTTATTCTGGACTTGGTTACAGAATCTGCAGACCTTGTTTTTATTATATTAAAAAAATTGATTATTGTTTAGTAGAAGATTTATTGAATTATAATCAGACAAGTACATAATGGAATATGTTATATGTTATAAATTGGTTTTTGCAATTTACTTAAGATGCTGATCTGAATGTCAACTCTGGTATTTCAGACAAGAGTGCCCCCCATCAGTGTCTGATATAATGTAGGAAATTAGTTTCATATGTTTTCCTTTTAACCTGTTTTGATACACGCAGACCTGTAAGTTTAGAGACAATTATTATATAGGAGTTTATACGTATTGTCACTTGCCAAAAAACTTTTTCCCCCTCTCTTTTCAATCTTTTTAAAGAAAATTTCATGCACTTCAGATAATTTAAACTATATATTTAATTAGAATTTGAAACTGCGATGACAGTTTGCAAATTTGATCTAAAACATAGCTACAGTCAACCCTGCAAACAAAAGGCTATCATTAAGGGAAAAAACTGAACGTGGCTTTTATAGACAAGTGGTCTTTATTTAGAGGTAAGGACCGCCTCCGTGGTCGAGGGGTTAGAGTCGATGACTTCTAATCCAGTTACCTCTCTGGCGTGGGTTCAATCCCCGGGAGATGCTTTGGTAGTTTAGCACGGAGGAAGGTAGTCTAGTACTGGTGTAACTCTCCAGGAATGATGGTTAGGAAACTACCGGCCTGTATGACTGAAATACTGTTGGGAAAAGGCGTAAAATGAAACAAACAAACAAACAATTTAGAGGTAATTTGATCAACTTAATTAAGGAAAGGTTTGTCAAAAAAGTGGTCTTTATACATAGGGTGGTATTTATTTGAGGATGGTCTGAGTCACAGGTTTGACTGCACTATGTTTTTTAAACCACATTGAATTTTTATTGGGATACAAATTGACTGCATTATGACATCTCAAGTTTATGCTTTATTATTATATGATATATTTATATATATAAGTGATGGTTTTGCCAACAGGGTTTTTTGGTGATCCTTGCATGGTCATATATTGCTTTAGTCAGGGTCTCTTTAAAGGGAGGGTTTCTTGTCATAGATATATTTAAGATTTTTGCAATTTTATGTTTTTTTACTTCCCAGTAAGTTTTCAAAATTCAAAAAAATTGCTGATCAACTGACATCTTCATATGTTTAATTACATATTTAATTTATATCTTGATGTATCATTATTTATATTTAAATATATTTACAACAATAATAATTATATGACTTGATGAAAATTAAGAATGATAATTTAAGAATGATAATGATGATGTAAGAATGATAATTATTTATATTTATACATATTTACAACAATAATGTATGACATGGTGATAATTAAAGAATGATAATTTAAGAATGGTTATGATAATTTAACAATGATAATTTAAGAATGATAATTATATGTATATGATACGCATGACATCTGTTTATTTATTGTATTTGTAATTGTTTAATTTGAATTGTTACTAATTTAGGTGTGTTCATATGCTAAGATTCTAATTATCTTAATATTATTATTATACATATATGATACTGTGTGTAAACACATAATTTAACTTAATTGCATGAGATGAATTCAGCAACTGTTTGCTGACCTGTCATGTATTATGGGTGTATCCATTATCCAGGCTGAATAAGTTTTAAAGGAGCACACCCTTTAAATTATAAGGAGTGTAAAAATTTCGTTGAATAATTAAAAGCTTTGATAATGGCATTAATAAAATGTGTAACCAATTTTAAATATAATTCGAAATGAATAATTTAAATTTATTACTGTATAATGATTATATTTTAAGAAGTTTATAATAAATATCTCGGCTAAATTATTGTTTAAACTGTGTAATAAAATGTTTTCTGAATCCGAAGTTAAAAAAACAACCAAACAACAAAGGTATGCTCCTTTAAAATATCAGACATCATAAAACTTAAAGATAGTTCATAATTTTGTTATTATTATTGCCAAGACTCCATGGGATTCTAATAGCGCAATTTGAATTGTTTTTCTGTCCTTGAATTAAAATGGGAACTAAATTATGAGTTTATATGATTTCTAATGATTATAATTCCTAGATTATGTCTAAAATTCAAATCCTGCACATTTGTTTTTATTATTATATTGGCATAAAATTTGGCAGTTGTTTAAAGTGAACATCGACTATAAAAAATTTTATTAAGGAGAGCATGAACTTTAAGGATGAGTAAAGGAATTGTTATTCACCTAAATTTTATGTTCCCTCACAACCACAAAATACACCATAAAAAATTCAAATTATGAATTGGTTCAATAACAATATTATCAATATCTCATTGCACTTGGCGCGGTTAACTTTTAAAGTAAAAACCCTACACTGTACACTTAAGGCAAATTAATGAGTACTCCCTGATACTGTAGCAAGTGCTTGTTTGATTGCTTACACTTAATGCTTTTTTTTTCTGAACAGCCGTTTAGCGAAAGTTGGAGGGGGGGGGAGTGTGGGGGATGTAAACAAGTATATGGGAATGTTGGTTTGAGTGTGTTTTGCTTGTTACGCTTACAATGTATGAATGATGAATGAATATATAAATATATATTTACACTGCTTGTATT